ATCTGCTAGATCAGTTTGTCTGTCTATGGACTGTTATGTGATTACTTGTTATATGTGCACATGGTTATTTGCTTGATGTTAGGTTGAGGCGGTCCTGCTTCTTGCTGAAGGCCAACATACCCTACGAGTGGTCCGGATAGACTGTAGGCCCGTATGGCGGTCCAGTCATACAGAAGGCTCGAGATAGATCCAGATAGACTGTAGGCCTGGTGCGGGCGGTCCAGTCATACTGTAGACTCAGAAAGTGGACCGGGTGGACTCAAGGCCCGGTGCGGACGGACCAGTCACATTGTATACTCGAGATGCATGGCTGTTCTGTATTCGTTGATATGATATGATTATGGTTATATGAGGTTGGTATTTTGGGGGAAACTCACTAAGCTTTCGGGCTTACAGTTTCAGTTTATTGTTTCAGGTTCAGCGGATAGCTGCGGGGAGGCAAAGGCGTGACCGTACACTTTCTCGATTGATGATTATGATTTCTGGGAACTCTGATGTATAAACTATTTTGAAAACAAATTGTAATAACTGAATGGTTTCAAATGATTTAAAAAGTTTTAAATTGGCTCGAATTTTATGGGTGTGACATTCAATTGCAAGGGTGTGAGGATGCTTATTTTCTTGGATGTTATGTAAAGGTTATTGTCATTATATAAATTTTACATCTCTTGAAACACCCTTCTTTTTCTCTTTTAAATCATAAACTCGATATCCTTTTGCCTTGGTGGATAGGAAAGAAAAATGCAAGGCCTCCCCTTTCTTCAAAACTTGTGAATTGATGCTTTGTTTTCTTTTACAAAGACCAAACAACCAAAGACTCTCATGTGGTCATAAGTTGGCTTGCGATCAAATAAGAGTTTGTTTTGTTTTCTATCACTTGAGATGGTAGTCTATATACACCTGTCAACATGCCTTCTCTCTAGAATTTTATGGGTAAATTTGCTTCAAATTGCAAGGCTCTTGCTACCTCCAACAAATGCTTGTGTTTTCTCTCAAAAAACCCCATTTTGTTAAGGTGTGTCATGCATGATGTTTCATGAACAGTTCCATTATCCTCATAATATTTTACCATTTGATTTCAAACAAACTCGCCTCCATTGTCACTTCGAATTTTCTTAAGTCCTTTTCCAAATTGCATTTTATCATTTTACAAAATACAACCAAAATAGTGCTTACATCATACTTATTTTTGATCAAATATATCAATGTGCATCGACTAAAATCATCAATGATTGTTAGAAAATAATGAGCCCTAGAGGTGGATAGTAAGTGATACCCTCCCCAAATATCGCAATGTATAAGATCAAAATGTCACAACTAGGAATTCTAATGCTTCTGTAAACATTAACAATGATAACATTCGAAACTAAAGCTTGAAAGTATGCATGATGATTATTCAATGACACCAAAATTTCATCAAACACTCTATGCAAACACTTCAAATAGTCAATAAAAGATTGGAAACCCTAAAAATCCCGGTTTAAGTCCATTATGGACTAGGATTTCCGTATTGGGCCTAATGGACCAATAAGCTTCCAATTTGACTATTTTGGGCTTAGGACCCTTAAATGGACCCGAATTGGACCCACTCTCATGAAACTTAACATTTTGGGCCATAATGAATCCAAAATTAATTGGTTTACGTTAATGGGCCTTATTGGGCCATAATTAATTCAATTAGCTTTCATGGACCTTAAATCCATTCTTTTATACAAAATTGGGCCGTGAACACCCTTAGAAGCCTAATGGGCCGAAAAATAGTTATTTAGCCTCATAATTTGGAGCAAGACTTAGAATGGGCCCAAGATGATTCCTTTCCTCTTCCTTAGCCCATTTCGGCCCAACAACAACAAAAAAAATGAAAAATGAATTGGATAGAAGAGAGTTGACTAGGAGATGCTACCTCAATAAGATCCATCATGTATCCATGCAATAATTCCCATACATCCATGCAAGTCATTTCACATCTCTCTTTCCCTCTCTCTTTTTCTTCCTCTCGGCCGAGAACCACCCAAACACACACACATCTTCAAACTTTCATCTCAAACACTCTCAAACACATCCTCTTCTCCATCCAAATTTTCGAGATTTTGGAACATTTCAAGGAGGTTCTTCCATAAGAATCATCATCTTTTGTAAGTTGTTGTTTAGATCCATAACCTAGTTTCTTTATTTCATCAAAACTTCTTCCTAAATCAACTCTAGGAGGCTTGCTAAGACCAAAAATCTTCTTCACATCTTCTTCAAAACCGAAGCAACTAAGCAAAGTGAGTTCATACCCCCTTGTTTTCGGTTTTTACTTATTTTTGGGGGGGAGAATACAAGTACTATGTGATGATCTATGTGTGTTTGCATCTTATGTGTGATTTCCTTAGTTTTTGGTTGTGATAATGTGTGATACTTGTGATATCTCGAGATCTATAGCAAGAAGGGTGAAAGAATCATAAACAAAAACATAATAAACAACATACATCATAGATCTAAGGGTCCTTAAGTTTACAAAGTGAAAAACAAAACCAAAAGAACCTTACAAGTGTCATTTTTGCAAAAATAAAAAAATTGGGTATAAATTGTAAATTGTCGGTTTTATGAGGGCTATAAGTTGTTTATTTGTATAAAAGCTAATTTCTATGAAAATAACACTTTTCAAGGGTCAAAAACATAAAATTTAGCTTAATGGGCTTAAAATTGGGCCTAATGGGTTTTGGGCCCAAAGTTGCGAAATAAAAAACGAGGTTTTGAGGGGCTGAATTGGAAAATTTAACAAACTATGGGTCTAAAATGTAAATAAACTTTTTCAGGGGTTAAAAATGAGTTTATTACCAAATTAGGACTAAAATTGCAAAGTTTTTGAGTTTGGGGTCGAAACTGTAAAACTTACGGAATTCGGGCCAAAAATGTAAACTTTTTACAAATAAAGGCTGGAAAGGACAAATGCAATAGTTTTGGGCTAAAATTTCTATTCAAATAAAGTTTGGGTGGAAAATGTCAAGAAAAATGGTTTAAGGACCAAAAATGTAAATTTTCATAAAAAGGGACTAAAAGTGCCATTAATATATAAAAAGGGACCACAATGATTAACCTAAATGTTTTGGGCCAAATAAACAATTATAAATGTTTGGGTTAAAAATACCAAGTTTATAATGCATGATTTTAAAATTATATATATATATATATATATATATATATATATATATATATATAATATATATATATATATGTTTATTCACAATGTTTGAAAAGAAATAACTTAACGTTCGAATTATAACGAAGCTTTAGTTATATATATATATATATATATATATATATATATATATATATATATATATATATATATATATATATATATATATATATATATAACTAAAGCTTCGTTATAATTCGAACGTTAAGTTATTTCTTTTCAAACATTGTGAATAAACATTTAGTAGACAAAAAGATATCAACAATACGAACTTAAACTCGATAAAACATAAACGATTCAGTGGTTGGACTCAAATACCTTCTTTCGTGTTATTGGGCCTTTGTTGCCCAATATCATGATTTTTGGGCCCAACATAAATACACATGTTTATTGGGCCTCAGGTGACCCAATTACATGCCTAATGGACCCTCAATGGCTTTTACATGCTATTGGGCCGTAGTGGCCCATTTGCATTGCTACTAAGGTCCAAATAAATCATATGCATGATGGGCGAACGAGTCCTTCGCATACTCGACAGCCTTTAATAACATACGTGATTAGTGGCCCCCCGTAGTCCTCTTCTCTTCGTCTGTTAGGCTTATCTTCTATTCAAGTAAACAAAAATCAGGTTGCTAAACAAGGTTATTCAATTTCGTTTGGATTTAGTGAGTAATAACGGGCGACACCAATAAGTGTCGGTCGTAGTCTGTAGTTATAATCAAAGTCTCCTGGAGGGAGAGCGAGAGTTTGTGTATAGATCTATACGGGGGTGATTCCCCCACACCTAAGCTGTTCGCTACAGTTAGACTCGGCCAGTCTAGGGTGACAAAATATTAATTTCAATACCGGCATTCGCAAGAATGCCAAGACAGACGAACTAGTCATTATTATGCATGGTTATAACGACTCACATAGAGATCCAATACCATCTAAGTAATCATGGGAAATCATATTCATTCGTTGTGACGTTACATTAATACAAAACGAACATCTATTTTATCGGAAAACATTGGGTTTTCCGGGGAAACAACATTATTCACTTGCATTGTCAATACAATAATTCATTATGAGAAACATATCACTTTTACACGTTTTGAAATCATTCACCCATGTACTTATGGATCATCACACCTTTTTCGTGAACAATTGTCTTTGCAGAAAATATCGGATTTTATGTGGTTTTCAAACTACACAAAACATTTTCATATCAAACCTACTTATGAACTCACCAACATTATATATGTTGACCGTTTTTCAAAATAACTTGTATTCTCAGGTAACAGATAAGCTGAAGAAAATTACCAAGTGTGTTAGGATGTTATGTTTTGTGACTCTCAAACAACTTATGCTATGGATTATGTAATGTAAACAATGTATTGGATGTGAACGATGACAGGTGTAATGTATTAATGCATGGGGATGTTTATGTTATGTTTCATGTATATTCATTGTAATGATATTTCAATTTATGTCACACGAGCCCTCGGACGTTTCCGCCGTCTGGTTCGGGGGTGTGACAGGTTGGTATCAGAGCTCTGTTTATAGTGAACTGGCATATCTAACCACACATTGATATGCAACTATAAACCCAAAGAGGGACTAAATAACTCTGAACAAAACAAATAAAATATATTAATAAACACTCTTACTTGTACGACTAAAAAAAAGGAACAAAGTAACAAATCAAAGAAGATGATTGGGAAAACCTGACATCTCGGTTAAGCCAGGACTGTTCACAGTTGTATTAGGGATGAATGTAGCCTGATCAACTACATTTCTTCATAATACAACTATCACATGCCCTGGGGCGATCACGATGGTTAGTGAGCCTAAGGCATACCCTCTTGTTAAACAAGAAAAGAGCATCAACCCGCCAATATTTTTACATATCTTACGAGTAATAATAGTTTATTTATATACCCTCTCGCAGACAGTATGGCCGGCTTCCATCATCCTGGAGATCCGTATTTCCCTAACCAGGGAAATAACGGGTGGCTGGAAGAGGAACCTGAAGAAGACCTCGAGGATGAGTCTTAAGAGGAACCTGAAGCGGAAGTCGAGGGCGGACCTGCTGAGCCAGTGGTAGACTTGGAAGAAGAGGAGGCCGAAGGGGAGTCAGAGGAAGAACCTGGTGATGACGATAATGGTGATTCGGATGCGGAGTCCGAAGTCATCAACCCACCTTACCCGATTAGGGTGCCCGCTCATCGGATGGGCCCAAATGGCCCCACACCTCCATGGGGCGTGGATATTTGGAGATGGAGTAGGCAGCAGGGCTAACGACCCCCATATGGGATGGCTAGGGAATTTTATGATCTGAGAGACGGAGGGCCAGCCGACCGGGCACTTCCTGTCATGGTGAGGCAGCTACGGAACACAGGCAACCTAGCCCAGGACACAGCCGAGCAACTGAATCAGATGTGAGCCGCAGTGGCAAGAGCAGAACGAGAAAGTCAAGAAGTAATCCATAACTTTCAGGTACGTCAAGCAATTTGGGAGGATCGACTACGAGCCACAAAACTGCAGGTGGCGCGTCTTCAGGGTGCATCCACATCATCAACCCCACCACCCGACGCATCTCAGAGCACTTCGGACCAATAGACCTCTCTACTAGTGATAGGTTTCTTTTGTACGCACTATATTATGTACTAGCGACTCCATGTTTAAGTGATTACACTACTCATAGAGTCGTTATGCTGTCGAACTTTGTACCTTTATGTATGCTCTTACGAGCAAATTTTCATGTATCAAAGTACGTATAATATTAGTGGAAAATATTATGTGTTTATTCGTGATGTTGGTATCTGCTATGTGTTTTATATTCTTATTGCTTAGTGTAAATTTATGGAAACACTTAGATGCGCAAATCGATTCTAGAAACCCCCAATTTAAAAAAAAATACGTACTCAACATCTTTCTGTTCCATAACAGCAAGACGACCCCTACTACCAAGCCCTAGTAGTCTATGAGGAGATTGAGGTGGGTCTAGATGAAAATCCGGAAGAAAACCCTGAAGGAGGTCCTGCAATGGGTCAGGAGGTGGGACCTAGAATGGAACCGGAAGAGTACGTAGTAACTGATTATGAATATGACGAATCTGACCGGGAGTCAGATGAAGGAAAGGACGTTAAGAAGACACCTAGTAAGCCCCACCCATCGGAAGCCCTATCAAACCCACACACGATTAAGGAAAGTGATACAGACTACATACGCTCTATTGAGAAAGAAATAGCAAATCTCAAGCGTCAACTCTTTGCGGCAGAAGCCAGAGCCGTTTGAGCCGAGCTAAGGGAAAGAAGTAATCACCCAGGAGGTGAAGCAACTGGCTGAACTCCGGATACGCCATCTTGACGATTGAGTGTCATCTTCATCATAACTGATAGAACGTACTCTACTACTTGCTATTATAGGTTCTACAGTATGTAGAACCAGCCGTATCTCCTACTAGTATTGTGTTTCTATGGATATTATGTCGTAATACTGTTCGATCGTACATTTTCCTATGGAATGTATGCCCATCAGGTAAATTTTCCTGTATTAAAAATGGCTATTTCTAGTAGAAATGCTATGTGTTTCTATATGGGGTTTCACATATGTGCACAAACAAACTATCAAAACCGTTAGACACTCAAGAACCTTGAAACCGGAATAACCTATGAACTCTCTGAATACAACTTAATATTCGTGAAAAATTTACGAATTACCTACTATCATAAATACATTTTAAGGATGAAGAACGAAACATTATGAATCGTACGACAAAAAAACGCGAAGCTCATAGCGTACAACCGGAAATGACCATCGTTACTTACGATCCTGCTTATCATCATGCAGCCGAAGATGTCATTCCACAGAAATAACAAACACACCCGTGGAACCCCAATCTTGCAGATGGACTCTGCTACATTCCAAGCTGCTGTAACAGCAGCCGTAACCGCTGTTATGGCACAACTTAATGCAAACAACATCAATAGAGATGGAAATAGTGTCGACAACTCCAGCCAAAGTAACAACCACGAAAACCAACAAGTGACATCTTATCAAGGCACTCCAAACCCCAAGCCTAAGAGCAGGAAACGAAAGTCTAGGAACAAGAAAAAGGGACAACCAACTCAAGGATCCTCGAAGAAACAACGTGTTGTTGCTGTCAATGCTACCATGACAACTACGACACCAACACCAGGAAGAACATATGTTGGAAGTCTCCCAAAATGCAACAAATGCAATTTCCATCATCATGGAAAATGCAGGGAGATGCATTGTACCAGTTGCAACAAAAAAGGTCACACGACAAGATATTGTAGGACTCATCCCCAACAATACCATCGGCTGACCAACAACAACAACAACAACCGCAACAACAATGACGTTGGGGTTAGTTACACTTGTTACAGATGTGGGGAAATCGGTCATTTCAGATGTAACTGCCCCAATGCTAACAACCAAGGAACGGGAGGATCAAGAAGGGTTTCGAACCTAGGTTAAGGCGAAGCAGTTCAAGACTCGACTATTGACACAGGTACGTTCCTACTCAACAACACCTACGCATGCATTATGTTTGATAGTGGGGCAGAGCAAAGTCTCATTAGTCATAAATTTAAAAACTTACTAAATCAACCACCTCAGAAGCTCAACGAAGCCTTTACGGTGGAAATGGCTAATGGAAAAAAAAACTAAAACAACTCAAGATACCTATGTAGGGTGCACGTTAACAACTAAACAACTATGTGTCGCAAGAAGGCCGTTCGCCTTCACCTCCCTAATCACGAAACTCTAATAATCTATGGTGATAAACCTGGCGCCAATCCTCGTCTTATCTCGTGCATCAAGGCACAGAAGTGCCTGCATCAGAAGAACTACGTTTTTCCTCGCTCATGTTGTGGACAAGACCAAGGAAGAAGTAAGCATACAAGGTATTCCTGTAGCATGCGATTTTCCGGATGTATTTCCCGAAGAACTTCCGGGAATACCCCAGAAAGACAGGTCGAATTTCGAATCGACCTCATACAGGGAACCACATCAATTGCCAATTCACTCTATAGGTTGGCTCCTGCGGAGATGCAGGAATTGTCAAACCAATTAAGCAAACTCTTGAGCAAAGGATTCATCAGACCCAGCTTCTCGCCATGGGGAGCTCCGATTCTTTTCGTTAAGAAGAAAGACGGATCCTTCAGGATGTGCATCGACTATAGAGATCTAAATAAGCTCACTATCAAGAATTGCTACCTACTCTCTCGGATTAACGACCTATTTGACCAGCTCCAAGGAGCTAATTACTCTCCAAATAAATCTAAGATCTGGTTATCATTAGCTCCTAATCCGAGAAGAGGACATTCCAACAACTGTTTTAACGAACTCGATATGTCTATTTTCGAATTCATTATGACGCCTTTCTCTCTAACGAATGCCCCGCGGTACTCATGGACCCCACGATACATTGGGCCATTCGAGATTCTTGCCCGAATCGGTCCAGTGGCCTATAGGTTGCAGCTACCAGGTGAGCTCAGCAGTGTACACCCCGTGTTCCATGTTTCCAATTTGAAGAAGTGCTTATCCGACGAAACTCTTGTCATCCCATTGGAATAAATCGAAATCAACGAGAATCTCTTGTTCATCGAGGAACCAGTTGAAATCATGGACAGGGAAGTGAAGCGTACTAAGCAAAGTCGCATTCCGATTGTGAAAGTTCGGTGGAACGCAAAACGTTGACCGGAATTCACATGGGAACGCGAAGACCAGATGAAACAAAAGTACACTCACCTATTCTCGTATTCTCAGACCTAGTTTCAAAAGAATTTCGGGACGAAATTCCCTCTAACGGGGGGATGATGTCACAACTAGGAATTCTAATGCTTCTGTAAACATTAACAATGATAACATTCGAAACTAAAGCTTGAAAGTATGCATGATGATTATTCAATGACACAGAAATTTCATCAAACACTCTATGCAAACACTTCAAATAGTCAATAAAAGATTGGAAACCCTAAAAATCCCAGTTTAAGTCCATTATTGGACTAGGATTTCCTTATTGGGCCTAATGGACCAATAAGCTTCCAATTTGACTATTTTGGGCTTAGGACCCTTAAATGGACCCTAAATGGACCCACTCTCATGAAACTTAACATTTTGGGCCATAATGAATCCAAAATGAATTGGTTTACGTTAATGGGCCTTATTGGGCCATAATTAATTCAATTAGCTTTCATGGACCTTAAATCCATTCTTTTATACAAAATTGGGCTGTGAACACCCCTAGAAGCCCAATGGGCCAAAAAATAGTTATTTAGCCTCATAATTTGGAGCAAGACTTAGAATGGGCCCAAGATGATTCCTTTCCTCTTCGTTAGCCCATTTCGGCCCAACAACAACAAAACAAAATGAAAAATGAATTGGATAGAAGAGAGTTGACTAGGAGATGCTACCTCAATAAGATCCATCATGTATCCATGTAATAATTCCCATACATCCATGCAAGTCATTTCACATCTCTCTTTCCCTCTCTCTTTTTTCTTCCTCTCGGCCGAGAACCACCCAAACACACACACACATCTTCAAACTTTCATCTCAAACACTCTCAAACACATCCTCTTCTCCATCCAAATTTTCGAGATTTTGGAACATTTCAAGGAGGTTCTTCCATAAGAATCATCATCTTTTGTAAGTTGTTGTTTAGATCCATAACCTAGTTTCTTTATTTCATCAAAACCTCTTCCTAAATCAACTCTAGGAGGCTTGCTAAGACCAAAAATCTTCTTCACATCTTCTTCAAAACCGAAGCAACTAAGCAAAGTGAGTTCATACCCCCTTGTTTTCGGTTTTTACTTATTTTTGGGGGGAGAATACAAGTACTATGTGATGATCTATGTGTGTTTGCATCTTATGTGTGATTTCCTTAGTTTTTGGTTGTGATAATGTGTGATACTTGTGATATCTCGATATCTATAGCAAGAAGGGTGAAAGAATCATAAACAAAAACATAATAAACAACATACATCATAGATCTAAGGGTCCTTAAGTTTACAAAGTGAAAAACAAAACCAAAAGAACCTTACAAGTGTCATTTTTGCAAAAATAAAAAAATTAGGTATAAATTGTAAATTGTCGGTTTTATGAGGGCTATAAGTTGTTTATTTGTATAAAAGTTGATTTCTATGAAAATAACACTTTTCAAGGGTCAAAAACATAAAATTTAGCTTAATGGGCTTAAAATTGGGCCTAATGGGTTTTAGGCCCAAAGTTGCGAAATAAAAAACGAGGTTTTGAGGGGCTAAATTGGAAAATTTAACAAATAAATGCTGGAAAGGACAAATGCAATAGTTTTGGGCTAAAATTTCTATTCAAATAAAGTTTGGGTGGAAAATGTCAAGAAAAATGGTTTAAGGACCAAAAATGTAAATTTTCATAAAAAGGGACTAAAAGTGCCATTTATATAGAAAAAGGGACCACATTGATTAACCAAAATGTTTTTGGCCAAAATGTTTGGGTTAAAAATACCAAGTTTATAATGCATGATTTTAAAATTATATATATATATATATATATATAATATATATATATATATATATATATATATATATATATATATATATATATAAAACTTCGTTATAATTCAAACGTTAAGTTATTTCTTTTCAAACATTGTGAATAAACATTTAGTAGACAACAAAGATATCAACAATACGAACTTAAACTCGATAAAACATAAACGATTCAATGGTTGGACTCAAATACCTTCTTTCGTGTTATTGGGCCTTTGTGGCCCAATATCATGATTTTTGGGCCCAACATAAATACACATATTTATTGGGCCTCAGGTGACCCAATTACATTCCTAATGGACCCTCAATGGCTTTTATATGCTATTGGGCCGTAGTGGCCCATTTGCATTGCTAGTAAGGTCCAAATAAATCATATGCGTGATGGGCGAACGAGTCCTTCGCATACTCGACAACCTTTAATAACATACATGATTAGTGGGCCCCCGTAGTCCTCTTCTCTTCGTCTGTTAGGATTATCTTCTATTCAAGTAAACAAAAATCAGGTCGTTAAACAAGGTTATTCAATTTCGTTTGGATTTAGTGAGTAATAACGGGCGACACCAATAAGTGTCGGTCGTAGTCTGTAGTTATAATCAAAGTCTCCTGGAGGGAGAGCGAGAGTTTGTGTATAGATCTATACGGGGGTGACTCCCCCACACCTAAGCTGTTCGCTACAGTTAGACTCGGCCAGTCTAGGGTGACAAAATCTTAATTTTAATACCGACATTTGCGAGAATG